CGGGTGTACAGATATGGAAATAACATTTATGATTGACCTGGACTAAAACAGATAAGATACAGTTTAAACATTATATGCATATTTTGTTATAGTTAGTAGTAGAGTTCATATTTAAATCAAGGGAGGGATGCAATGTTGACATTAGAGAGTTTGAGCAAGACAACGGAGTACGAAGACGAAGGCATACTTGACAATTTTTGCCGTCTGCACATTACCTTGCGCATACTGAGTTGGACGTCACTGGTGGTTGCTCAACGTGTCTTTCCATGTGTTGCTGTTTATGAATACTGACCCTAATTCTTGCCCTGATCCAGAAAAAAAAACAGCGAGACATGAAACATACCATGAAATATATCCCGTCTTTGTCCTTCTGCCTTCGTGCAGAAAGAAGTTCAGAACGAATTTTGCCAAAATAATCGTTGTGAACGAAGGCAGAAGAACGAAGACGGGATATGGATTCACGTCTCGCTGTTTTATCCTGATCAGGGTAAGGATTTGAGTCAGCATTCACACACAGCTAGACATGAATCTCTAATCTGTCTTCACTCCTGACCCTAAACTCAGAATGCGTAAGATAATGTGCAAGACAGGCAAAAATTGTCAACCACGTCGTTGTCGTCCGACTTCGTTCTCTTGCTCAAACTCTCTAATATTGACACTAGCACACACGTGACTAGAAAGTTAGTAAAGTATTTTTAGAAGCACGAGGCTAGGGAACCGGGAAGTAATTGGATACGTACTATGCTGTTTGTACAAGTTATTTGATATCTATTGTTATACTTAAAAGTGCTTGATATTGATACAAAACCACGAACATTACAAATGGAACAACAGCAGACTGGGTAAGAATTGAGAACATGTTTGTTACACGAGTCGATTCTAAGCCAATAGTGATAAGGAAAAGTTTGGCTATTTACTTGAAATGGTGAGAGGAAAAGTCCGGGATAAGATCTCAAACCGAGCTCAATTGGATATAAAACAGCTTTGGAACGGCTAAAAAAGGAGTACGGTCAAACAAAGTTGGTTGTGAATGCACATATTGATGAAGTAGTAAATTTACCCACAGTACGAGGGTCCTCCAATGAAAATATCTTGGCTTTCTATGAACGTTTGAGCAAGAAATATGACGCACTACAGACTCTCGTTTAACATGAGAAATTAGATGGATTTGTGATGTGTACAATTAATAAGTTGCCAAATGTGAAGTCGGACTTGGTAAGGACTGATGAAGATTGGGAGGAATGGAAAATGGAGAACTTAGTAGATAGTCTGCAAAAATGGTTACGAAGAAACAAAACTGAAGACGATAAATCCACATGTGACCCAGCAAGACTTCATGCACAATCGTTCGTGTGTCACACAGCTTCTATCAGTACTGCTCTCCATTGGAGAATCGCTTGATCGAAACATCCAAACGGATATTCTTTACCTGGATTTCGCTAAGGCTTTTGATTGTGTGGATCACGTCATTCTTATGAAGAAACTTAAATGGAATGAATGGTGTAACAGGTCATCTGCTTGATTGGTTCACTGATTATCTTAGGAACCGATCTCAAAGGGTTGGGATTGACGGCGTAGCATCTCGGTACCTACCAGTTACTTCTGGCGTGCCCCAAGAGAGCATCGTTGGTCCTCTGCTATTTGTCATTTTTATCAATGACCTACCTGAATTTATTCCGAATCAGTCAAAAACGGCCGCTCTCTTCGCAGATGATACCAAGTTATACAGATTGATTTCATCCATAAGCGACTGCGAAAGCCTGCAGCGTGACATTTCTAGTTTAAATGATTGGAGTCAGAATTCAAACATGAAATTTAACGCTTTAAAATGTAAAGCATCACAATCACACGTAAAAAGTCACCTGTAACAACGGATTATCATTTGGGCGACACAAATCTACAACAAGAAAAAGACCTCGGTATAATGATAACTGCCAACTTATCCTGGGACGCTCATATATTTTCAGTTGTCAACAAAGCCAACAAGATGCTTGGTGTCTTGAAAAGGACATATCCCCTTATAGAACACAGCAAAATAAGGCAAACCCTATATCACACATTTGTTAAGTCGCAACTGTGGTATGCAACGGAAGTATGGTCACCAGCTACTGCTAAGCTACAGATGACATTAGAAAGGGTTCAGAGGCGTGCATCCAACAGAGGCGTGCTGGATCCTGAAAACGAATGTCGGAGAGATGCCTTATGAAGACAGACTGACGACCCTAAACCAACTAACTAGTTTATGATCGAGAACTTAGAGACCTTGTTTTGGTTTATAAATCTATCTTCGGTTGTATTGACTTGATCATTGAACAGTTTGTATTTTTTGTGCAACATAGTCGTTCTCGCTCTCAAAATCCATCCCTTGTTCTGAAACCTTCGTACTGTAAAACATCAACTTTTCGTTCTTCAACCGAGTAGTTTTAAACGCTTCCTGCATACGACATACTCCAACCTGGTCAAGGATACTTTTAATGTGGATATGCCATGCACTTGGTCACTCACACACGACTGCTCCTCCAATCGTTCCTAAACTACATTATGTATATATTTACTGTAAATAGATCTTTTTTCTTTCTCTTTCTTTTTGTTATCTAGTTATACTTTTATTTAGGGGTTGTGCCTTGCATGGGTCTCGTTTTCCCGTTTGCACTAAGCCCATTGGGCGTTCACCTTGTAATCTAGGATTTCTATGTCCAATAATGCTTATAAAAAAAAGAAGAAGGATAAAAGCGTGTTTGCACGTAATGGAGGTAAAGAGAACGAAAGAGGAAAAACGACATCTTGTTGTATGTTCTGTAAAGCTGAACACTGGAGTGATATGTGCAAGTCGTATGTAACCACAGCTCAAAGAAGGTTTACTTCGGTGAGAACAATTTGTGCTTCAATTGCGGTAGCCCGGGACAAAAGGCTAGACATTGTTGGAGTCATGGGTGCTATCACTGTGGGGAGAAACATCATACCAGTTTACATGATCAGAAAGAGAACAAAAGTGATGGTACAGTACTAACGGGCCATTCAACAACAACAGAAGAGATTACATTACCCCCCATAATCCCAGTTAAGTTGGACGGGGAGGTTTTCTGGGCATTTTTGGACACACGATCGGGCAGGAATTTTATTTCAAAGCTAGGAAGCAGTAAAGAAGCCTCAAGTTTCTGCAGCACGACATGAAACGAAGGAAATCATCACCATTAATGGAACAAAAAGACAGAACATGCCTATTTACAATGTAACAATCGAAACATTATATGGATTAACCAAGGAAGATATAGGGCTAGCCGGGTCAACAATGGAAGATTTCATAACAGGGAAAAGACCGGACATGAACAAACTTAAATGGAATTATGAACACACAAAGGGTAAGAGGTTTTACATGACAACAGATGGTGAATACCCAATACACATGACCTTAGGTGACAACACTTTCTGCAAGATTAAGACAGAAGAAATCTACAAAGGGAAAGATGGCGATCCTATGGTTGAAGGTACTTCGTTTGGTTGGATTGTTCATGGCGGAGATATTTCGAACAATGTATGTATGTTTACAAGAGAATCAAATGAGTACGAGTAATTGTATACACTGGATGTGTTTGGAGTTGAAGATAGAAGGGAGAATGACCAACTGGATGTTTATCGTGCATGAGTTTAAAGAGAACATTACTCGGGCTGATGACGGTAGAGATCAAGTCAAAGTACCATGGATTCCAGGACAGTCTTTGCCAAATAACAATCTAGAACCAAGTCGAAACGATTAGTTAACGTATGCAAAAAGATCGAGCGAGATGAGAAGTTAAAGAACAATTATGATGAAATAATCGAGAAGCAATTAGAGTCGGGTATCATTGAAGGTGCACCAGTGAAACCGAATGGTGAACGAGCATATCATATACCCCACAAACCTGTCGTCAGAGAGGAGGCAAATAGAGCAAAAGATAGCGCGGAGATTTCCAAGAATTTTAGAAATTTTGAACTGGTCGGTGATGCATGGTTTTTGAACGATGGAAAAGAAAGAGAAGACATGAATGAGGAAACTGAGGAACATGACAATACACCAGAATGGTTGAGAAAGCCGTAGGTAGTAACTGAAGGTAGTAAAATTCCTCTGATAATTCTGACCAAGATGAAACGTTTGAATTGATGGATGAAAGTGAAGCGCAGGAAAGAGTGAAAAGAACAGAAAAGAGAGAAGAAAGAAACGTTCTTTTGAAAAGAAACACCAAAGAAACTAATAGTGCTGAAAACACAAATGAACGTACGAAAGAAGAGAATAGTTACAGACGAAAATTGAATAAAAGAAAGGTCGAAGAAAAGCAAGAAAGCAAAGTTGATGAAGAGTGCGACGGCGAGGACAATATAATGCAAATCGGAAGATATGTATCAGAATTCGAAAGGTTCAAAGTCGAGACTACAGCAATCTTAGAAGGTGTCAAACTACCACTTTACAAGTGGGAATCGAACGTAGAAAGCAGTCAAGAAGAGGAGCAAATCTTAACACCCAACACTATGCTCTGGGGACAGAATTCGTATGCATTGGAAGAATTTAGCGAGGAAAAAGATGAAAACGAAGTTGGTAGTCTATACAAACGTCTTACCATAGCGTCTTACCAAGACAACACGCGTGGTCGAGATGGCAAAGGGAATATATCCATGGATTAATGGATATAGTATCATCGTGTAAATAAAAGCACATCTCCTGTACCAGAGATTGGGGAAATTGTATTGATCGTTGGAGACGAAAAGAACCGAGGACGGTGGATGAAAGGCAAAGTTGTGAAGTACGTGAAAGGAGAGGACGGTGTAATTGGAGGAGTTATTGTGTTACATAAGGGTAACTATTTGGAACGACCTGTTTAGCTGGTATGTCCTTTGGAGATAAGGAGCGTGCGTAAGGAAGATCAAGGAAGACACAACGAAAGTACTGAAGATAATGATGATAAATTAAAGGAAAGACCAGAACGGAAAGCAGCAAAGATCGCGAAAGTTAACATCAGAGAACAGTTGAAGGACGATTAAAGGAAAGCAAATATAACTGTAGAATGTTGTTAAAAATTTATAATTCGTTTAAATTTGTTAGGGCAGTGTGTGATGAACTCTCAACAGTATTAACTACAATCGGTAATAGCTATATTTAGAAATACATGGAACATAACCATATATGGTATAATTAGTTTGTTATTGTACAAGAGACGGCGAGAGACAAGTTTACAAGGTTTTGAGACAAGTGATTTTCGTATTTTTTCGTATTGTTTGCATATATAATAAATATTTAATACAAAAACGAGTGAGGATTTGTATATCGGGGACAACTTTGGTATAAATGCTTATAATTTCTTGCTTTTGTATGTATAATTATAACACTGTCAGTGGTGAAGCTGACATAGCAACAGGTCATGCTATGCAAGCTTTTAATGATTTGCATTATTCAAATAGTGCAGGTTTATTGGCGTGGCATGACCAGTTTCCATGGTAGCTAGCTCGTCACTGAATACTGTACAAAATCATATTATATATAAACGATAATAATACTTGAATGAATCATTGGACATGTAGAATTTAATAATAATTCCATAAATAGAAATATTAAATCAGTTTTTGTCCCAATTAACGTTTTAATGCAATAATGGCACCTTCAAGGCTACCCCTATTGCAAAACAACTGAACAATCTGCTGATGCTTGATGGAGAGACAAAATCTGATGACACCATTCATTAGTCATGATTAAGATTGTACTCAGTCAGAACTGCAAAACTATATAATACAGTTGTGAGCATTATCAAAAAATATAGTATAGTCTGATACTGTAGTGACAGCCAGGTGCCAATATATAAATGTAGGCTGGTAGGATTATTTCATATTATGCTATTACACAATAGACATATCTCTCAGAGATATATTTTTACAGACCTTCATACTTTTTACAAAAGTCGGTTGACATGTTATTACATGTAACTGCTGGTGAGTTAATATGTGCAGATAACATTCCACACTCGGTTGCTATAGGAATAATGGAATATCTTTGTACAAGTCAGACAATTTTACGATACGTATACTGCTCAATTGATATTGCCAAAATAACAATAATAATAAACTATCACTGTGATTATTTATCCCTTGAAGTGCGATGTTCCATCAAGCCTACAATAAAGCTCAATCAGATTTTTTACAAATGATAAATATCGATGAACTCCACTTGTTCATTATGAAGACTTGTATACACCTAAAATGTAATAATTTAAATACAGTTAATTCATTTGCTTCAAGTTTCAACGCGTATCGACCACACATTGTTATTTGTGATCAAATTTTCCGCTTTACCTTGAAAAGTTTTTCGATAAACAGCCAGAGTCCATTTGCGTGTTTACAAATTGTCATTGTCCATGGTGGTGTTCGCGAGGTTCAACAGGGGTATTCGGAAAGTCAAATAGCGATCTGGAGTATGTTATTTTTTACAGTAAAGTTTCTGTGACGTCAAAATACGTCATAAATCTGATCACCCATCCGTGCACCTACAAAATCGAGATGGCGTTCGGCTATACATAACTCGGCCGGAAACAGACTGGTGCGAGAAAAACAAATCGTCAAGAATAGTGTGCTGCCTTCGGCAGCAATTAAGGTTGTCCACGAGCAAAGCGGAAAAGTCGAATACGAGCGCGAAAGGCTGCTGGGAATCGCTAACAAATTAATGAAATTTCAAAGCGATTCCCAGCATTCCGCTTTGCTCGTGGACAACCTTAATTTAATTAAATAGCTGTATACAGTGGGGGTCAAACGTCTGAGTCCAGTCAATATGCTTTAATTTTGCCTTTTATTGATATACAATATATTTTCACACAATAGAGCACTATATGTGCGTCAAATAAGGATTTACATCAACGTTGGCATTGATAAAACTATAGTAGCCAAGTGAACGTTATTTTAATATTTTGTGTGACCTCCTTTTGATTTTAAAATAGCTTTAACTCTTCCTGGCATAGATTGAACAAGTGTTCTATGTACTGCTGGCTTATAAGGTTATTCCAGCATTGATTAAAGACATCCCATAGGTTTTCTTTACTTGTGGAATCATGTTTCACTTTCCCTCCTTTCAAATGATCCCATAAATTCTCAATAGGATTTAGGTCCCGAGATTGAGGAGGAAAATCTATAACAACCAGATCACCTTTCTCTTGCTTCCTTCGTCAATAATTTTTACACATGTGAGAAGTGTGTATCGGATCATTATCCCCCTTCCACACAACCTTAAGCTAGATGGTAATCATGGTATGGCTTGTCTTTGAAGGATGGAGTGATATTTGTATTTCGTAAAAATTAGTAAGTAGGGAGCAAGAGAAAGGCAATCTGGTTGTTATGGATTTCCTCCTCAACCTCCAGACCTAAAATCCTAAATCCTAATGAGAATTTACGGGAACATTTCAAACGAGAGAAAGTGAAACATAATCCACAAGTGAAGACAACCAACCTATGGGATGTCGTTGATCAATAATGCTGGAGTAACCTTAAACCATCAATACTAAGAAAACTTGTTGAATCTATGGCCATGATAGTAAGAATTGAGGCTGTTTTAAAATCAAAAGGAGGTCACACAAAATATTAAAATAATGTTCACTTGGCTAATTAACAATTAGACAACAAAGCCGAGTTGTGTATGAGCGAATAGTCAACGAGGCGAAGCCGAGTTAACTATCTGCTCTGAGACAACGAGGCTGAGGCTGGGATTACACTATACCGGATTGATTTTCATACCGGATCAATTTTCACACCGAAGCCAAAATCAAGGGTGTTTACATTATGCCGCTTCGCTCTGTTGCCAGCTCGTATCTTTTATCGTTGCATGCCACGGAAACAAATAATAAGTTTTGACCATTTTGGACGTTTTCTCGACAGTACTTGTGAATTATAACTTTGTTTACAAAGCTTGACCACCCGACGTTGCTTTGTCTCGCTCTTATCGAAAATTGACGAGTATTTCATTAAATTTTGCCCTTTTGAAAGCAAGAAGTCAATGTTATTACCGCTATCTTTATTTGCCTTCGCTTGAAATAATAAATAATTGTAAAGCGAAGCAAACAACAGCTATAAAATATTTAAAAGCGAGTAAATAAAACGACAGTGTTAAAATATACTTGCCGAAACCTATTTATAGTACCGGAGCGTACTGGATTGCCTGATTACACTTGGTTTTATCCGGTACAATTACTTTTCATATCACCTTCAAAGCGAAGTGATTTTCGCGCCGTGGCACGTACCGGATTACAGTGGCATGGCGTAGTGTAAACAAGAGGCCAATCCGGTACAGAAATCGCGTCGCTTCGATGCAATCCGGTATAGTGTAATCGG